TGAGACAGAGAGAGATGAGAAAAGTTTTATTATTTTTTGTGTGTGTGTGTCCATGTGCAAACATTTGATTGGGAATGTAGCCTCATAGTGGTATTTGCACGAAACGGCGGGAGAGTTTAATTAAAACGAGCGGAAAGTTTTCGATTTGCGAAAACGTATTTCGATTTCATCGCAAAATCCATAATTTTGCTGGATAAACTAGTTGCATTTCTCCCATTGATTGCATATTTTCAATGTCGTTTCATTTCAGAAGATATTCCACTGATAGGTGAAACAATGTGCGTGGAATTAAATGAATGTATTGTAATTGTTGCACTTGTAATTGATTGTTTTTTTTTTCTAAATATAGTCTCGCACTTTGTAATTTTACATTGTTTTCGTCTCGGTAACAGTTTGCACTGGAGTGGCGCGCACCTTCAGACCAAAAGGCAAACATCGGTGTTAGATAACGCGAGTAAAAATAAACTCGCCGGCCGAGTGGAGGAGAAATTTCGTAAGGTTAATTTGTAATGAGGATGATAATATAGCATCATCATCATCAAAAAGTAGTAGCAGTAACAGCAGTAGAGAGAAAGAGATAACAATAATTAAGTAAACTAAGTGAGTGTTTCATCTTTTCGCAGATTAGTGACAGAACAATGGGACCGAGCGATGATATACGGCAGCACGATTAATTAACGGAGGACGACAAGAAGAAGAAAAAAAAAACAAACAAATTAAATATATAACTAAAAGTAAGCAAACGAATATGGGAGGCGTCGGCTGCAAATGGAAGCATCATTATCGTCGCATCCGTTGCCATAACGACATCAACAACATCGCCGGTTGTTAAGGCTTTTGATCATCATCATCATCATCAACATCTAGTTGTTGTTGTTGTTATTGGATTTTTTGTTGATTTTGTTTTTTTGTTTTGTTGAAAAGTGAGTGCGCGCGAGATGGCCGAGGAAGGTCTCCCGGTGAACATCCTCGGTGGACAGTTCGAGCAGGACGTCGTTCCGTTCGGTTCGACCATCTCCAATGCGGAATTGGAGAATTACCTGAAGGTTCACGCCGGCGAGTTCAACCTCTCCGATTACGGCGGTTTCGGCGAGATCGAGGAGGCGGTGAACAAGTGCAACGCGTTGTACGCGAACGACACGCTCGACCTGAAGAAACGGTTTCCCGATGACGGCGACTTCTGCGAAACTGTCTTCGATTCGATCTCGTGCTGGCCACCCACCCAGCTCAACGACACCGCCGTCGTCAGATGTTTCTCCGAGCTGAACGGCATCAGATACAACGATACACGTAAGTGTCTATTATATCATCTATTTATTGCCATAGCAACATGTTTATTGAGACTGTCAAAACAAAAACAATCGAATGTCATTAGTGATCAACGTAAAGTGTATTGATTCTAATTGAATTATTGAAGAGATGATAATAATATTATTGCTGGAAATTTAATCCAGTGAAAGGATGAGAAAAGAAAAGGAATCTGTGAAAGGGGTAAAATCGACTGCGTTATTGCATCTGCGAATGGAAAGCAATTGAACCCATCCCTTATTGTTTTATCTTCATCTCCAATGGCAACGAAGTAATTTCAATATGTGGATATGAATAATAAAGGTTATGTCTGTGTATACGCATGGAATAACGTGAGCCCTTGGGGGAATCGCCTTCAATGGAGTCGAATCTCGTTTCCGTTTCCTCAAAATACATGTACTTATTATATATCTATATATAAAAAAAACAACTTAAAACTGTTATAACTTTTGAACCGTTGGCAATGTTGTGTCCATATTTCGCCTAATGATAGCTGATTTTATTGTTTACAAGCCTGCGAAGCATTTGCATCTCAGTTTTTTGGAAAAAAAGTTATCAGTGATGAAATTCAAACGTAATTGCTTGATATCCAAAAACCTCAAGAATTTCATTTGCATCTCAGTTTTTTTGGAAAAATAGTTATCGGCTATATAGGCGGCTATATAGAACATTTTCAGTTTTTTGGAAAAAAAGTTATCAGTGATGAAATTCAAACGTAATAGTGTGATAGCAGTCAAGGATTATGCGAATATCTACCACGAACAAGTTTTGGTAGGTCGAAGCACATATCAATAATTGAATTGATAAGTAATATTTTTTGCTTTTGGTTCAATAAAATCCAATTTCAAATAAAAAAAATACAGCGTTCTGAAAAGTTGCAGTTCAATTGGGCCACCCTGTATATATACATTGATTGGAAACGAATGAAACATTTACGTTGAAATGAAAAGAATGCTACAGTTATAAATGAGAATTAGGTTAGGTTAAAGTGTCAACTGAGTTACTAATTTTGCCGCAGTTGTAAATAACGTTTTTTTTTGTTTTTGTTTTACTTTTTTGTTTCTGTTTTTAAATATGAAATGGGCGACGGTTTGAAAATACAGGTTGGCCCAATTGAACTGCAGCCAACTTAAAACTGTTATAACTTTTGAACCGTTGGCAATATTGTGTCGATATTTCGCCTAATGATAGCTGATTTTATTGTTTACAAGCTTGCGGAAGCATTTGCATCTCAGTTTTATGGAAAAAAAGTTATCAGTGATGAAATTCAAACGTAATTGCTTGCCATATCGAAAATTTGAATTGAATTCAAAAAATTTAATTGTTTTCCAACATTTTTTGCTTGTGGTTCAATAAAATCCAATTTCAAATAAAAAATACAGCGTTCTGAAAAGTTGCAGAATTGGGCCACTGCTAGTTTTTTTTTCTTTGATAAATCTCAAATAAAAAAAAAGCGTCTGAAAAGTTGCAGTTCAATTGGGCCACCCTGCATTTTTAGTTTAAATGATTTACTAAATTACATATACGTTGATTGGAAACGAATGAGTTGGAGAAATGGAGACATTTACGTTGAAATGATAAGAATGCTACAGTTATAAATGAGAATTAGGTTAGGTTAAAGTGTCAACTGAGTTACTAATTTTGCCGCAGTTGTAAATAACGTTTTTTTTTGTTTTTGTTTTACTTTTTTGTTTCTGTTTTTAAATATGTAAATGGGCGACGACATCAAATTATTTATACAGGGTGGCCCAATTGAACTGCAACCAACTTAAAACTGCTATAACTTTTGAACCGTTGGCAATGTTGTGTCCATATTTCGCCTAATGATAGCTGATTTTATTGTTTACAAGCCTGCGGAAGCATTTGCATCTCAGTTTTATGGAAAAAAAGTTATCAGTGATGAAATTCAAACGTAATTGCTTGTCCACCAACTCAGAGCTACAGTTCGCACTCAAGGCAGGAAAATTCCGCAGGTGACTCGCTTGTCGACAAACTCAGAGCTATAGTTCGCGCTCAAGGTGGCCATATCGAAAATTTGAAATGAATTCAAAAAATTTAATTGTTTTCCAACATTTTTTGCTTTGGTTCAATAAAATCCAATTTCAAATAAAAAAAATACAGCGTTCTGAAAAGTTGCAGTTCAGTTGGGCCACCCTGTATATATACATTTGATTGGAAACGAATGAAACATTTACGTTGAAATGAAAAGAATGATACAGTTATAAATTAGAATTAGGTTAGGTTAAAGTGTCAACTGAGTTACTAATTTTTGCCGCAGTTGTAAATAACGTTTTTTTTGTTTTTGTTTTACTTTTTTGTTTCTGTTTTAAATATGAAATGGGCGACGGTTTGAATATACAGGTTGGCCCAATTGAACTGCAGCCAACTTAAAACTGCTATAACTTTTGAACCGTTGGCAATATTGTGTCGAGATTTCGCCTAATGATAGCTGATTTTATTGTTTATAAGCTTGCAGAAGCATTTGCATCTCAGTTTTATGGAAAAGAAGTTATCAGTGATGAAATTCAAACGTAATTGCTTGTCCACCAACTCAGAGCTACAGTTCGCGCTCAAGGCAGCTATATCGAAAATTTGAATTGAATTCAAAATATTTAATTGTTTTCCAACATTTTTTGCTTGTGGTCCAATAAGATTCAATTTCAAATAAAAAAAATACAGCGTTTTGAAAAGTTGCAGTTCAGTTGGGCCACCCTGTATATATACATTGATTGGAAACGAATGAAACATTTACGTTGAAATGAAAAGAATGCTACAGTTTTAAATGAGAATTAGGTTAGGTTAAAGTGTCAACTGAGTTACTAATTTTTGCCGCAGTTGTAAATAACGTTTTTTGTTTTTGTTTTACTTTTGTTTTAAATATGAAATGGGCGACGGTTTGAATATACAATTTTTAATGGCGATAAAATTAAAGTTGGCGAGAGAAGAGAAAATAAAAAAAAAGTAGAAAAGAAAGGAATATGCGAAACGAGGTGGTGGAAAATTAATGAAACGAAAATAACTAAATTTCCGCGCGCAATTTTCGCATCGCCGCTCGTTAAAACGAACAAACGAACGAACGAACATCCAGAGGGTTTTTCCCTACCTTCCTCAGCTCACTCGCATTCTCTCTAGTTTCGTAACTGTTTTGTTTCAGTTGCATGCGTCTATGAATATATGTAAACTAGATGGAGCGAATTAACAGTTTAAAAATCAAAATGTAATAACAACGCTGCGGTAAATTAATTTAATAAGTAATTAATTAATCTCGTTATGAGAATGTTTGCAAAACGTATTGTTGTTGTAAACTATATTAGTATACTATATATTAGTAGTAGTAGTAGTAGTGTAGTGTACATGCAAGCATGACGGACAAAATGAAAACGAACAAACAAAAAACCTGGTGGAAAGCAGCGATAAAGGTTTTATTTATTTGCTTTAACAAAAAAGACAAACTGTCGTTTCACTGTGTTTACGTTACGTAACAGTAAGCAACGTATCCGTACGAACAAGCGTACGAAATAACACAAAAGCAAAACGATTTGCAATTGGTATTTTAACGTTTAATTTCGCCCTGTGCTTCATAAAATTGATGGGAAAATTGTTTTCCTTTTGCTCTTTTTTTTCTTATTTTTCTGCATTGTGTTGTTCGTAAAAGCAATTGATTGACTTTACACGCAGCGTCGGCATTTTTCTGCACCCGTCGACAGGAGAAAAATGCAATCATTTTCCGCCGACAATGGACGTGTCAAGAACGGGTTTTGTTTGGCAGAAAAATCATTTTGACAGTTTAAGAATGCTTTTCTGACATCTCAATTAGAGAATTTACAAGAAGAAGAAAGCAATAATGTAAGTTGGACAATAGAAAAGTCATAATGTAATTAATAAAAGTAAGCATTAGTCGTTGTTATTGCAATTGGTAAATTTGCATAGACAATCTGAGTTGATGTATCCTAAAATAGACGCACGTCAAATATTATTGCATGACTGTTGGTCACCTTGATTACATGATACTAAGATGGCCGATCAATCATTATATGGTAACTATGGTTATGTGAAAACATTATCATGTGATGTTTAATGGTAACCATGGATACTTGAATGTATGGAAAATTTTATTGCATGAATGTTGGTCACCTTGATCACATGATGCTAAGATGGCCGATCATTATCTAATAGTAACCATGGTTATTTTAAAACATTATAATCTGATGTTTAATGGTAACCATGGATACTTCAATGTATGGGAAATATTATTGCATCAATGTTGGTCATCTTGATCACATGATGCTAAGATGGCCGATCATCATCTAATAGTAACCATGGTTATTTTAAAACATTATCATGTGATGTTTAATGGTAACCATGGATACTTGAATGTATGGGAAATATTGTTGCATAAATGTTGGTCATCTTGATCACATGATGATCATAAGATGGCCGATCACCATTTAATGGTAACCATGGTTATGTGATAACATTATCATGTGATGTTTAATGGTAACCATGGATACTTGAATGTATGGGAAATATTATTGCATCAATGTTGGTCACCTTGATCACATGATGCTAAGATGACCGATCGCCATTTAATGGTAACCATGGTTATGTGAAAACATTATCATGTGATGTTTAATGGTTACCATGGATACTTGAATGTATGGGAATATTCAACCGTGTATTGCTGGAATTAAGCTACTTGCACGTGCAGACGAGAAGGATTTTTGTGCATGAATCCTTAACGTATCAATACCACGTGCACACACTCGACTCTTCCGCATCTACAAAGGCGCCGCCGCCGTCTCTTCATCCTTCTCCATCATCTTTTATACACTTTTTAGCTCCGTTTACGGTGCGTTTCAAAGGGAAAACGACGCGCTTTGACGGATTCCTCGAAATGGAAGAGAGGAGGCTTTTACCGTTTGTCCTCTCTATTTTTTTTGTTTGTTTGTTTTTTGATTGCAAAGAAAGAGGATGAAAATATTATAAGC